TAAATCATTGGTTATAATCAGTTAAGGATTATTCCTACTCTTTGTATCATTTGTGGTTACATTTTGCATGTTAAATTGTTTATGTAAATTCAAACACGTAATAGTTTAAAACAATAAGAATTATAAAGGTAATGCAAGTTGAAAAAAAAAGTGTTTAAACAAGGCTCTTAACTAAATGATAAAGAGCCAAAAGCAACTTATGTATATATTAGTTATAAAAAAAAAGTTATGTATATATTACTGAGTTACCTGAGCTGGAGTGGCATTATGCTTGAGAGCAATAGATTTAATGACAGGGTGTTCAATCACAGCCGTTGATCCCCAACAATTCCCTGGACCACCAAGTGGTGAATATCCACTTACATGGATCTTGTTCTCTTCACACACTTTCCTTAGTTTGCTTTGTCTCCACAATGGATGCATCTCCACCTATGCATATACACAAAATCTTAGTTATCAAATCTCCCCAATAGTAAGCAAGAATGTTTTGGTATTCGTGTTTTGTATCCAAACCTGGTTAACAGAAGGATAGACAGAAGCGAAATCGAGGAGATCATAGATCTTTTTAGAAGAGAAGTTGCTAACACCAATAGATCTACACAAACCCATCTCTAAGCATCTCTCCATGCCTTGCCAAGTTTCTTCAATTCCCACATCTTTTTCAAACTCTTCTTCCTTTGGGATTGGGTCACTCACTCCAGGCTTTAGCTTTATTGGCCAATGCACCAAATAGTTATCTAGATACTCTAGCCCCATTGTCCTATTATTTCATAAATAATATGTCATGAGATTGATGTCTCAACCATCAAAATATTGTAGGTGATTGTTTGTGTTTGGATAGAGATGCTTACTTGAGAGTTTGTGTGAGAGCAGAGATAGGGTCATGGTGATCACTAGACCATAACTTTGAAGTCACAAAAATATCTTCTCTCTGGACAGTTCCATAAGAGATAGCTTGACCTAATGCAGTTCCAAGAGCTTCTTCTGATCCATATATCTTTGCTGTGTCGAAATGTCTATACCCTATCTGTCATTCCAAGAAGTCAGCCTATGAGATATCAAAAGTTGGATTCTAACAAATTTCTTATTGTTATTGGAATATATAACATTTTTAAGTATTAATTTCTAATTTATTATACAAATTCATACTAATATATATTTTAATCATATTTGGTGGTCAAGTGATGAATACTCTACTCAGAGTGAAAAGTGATGTACAAGAAAACACACACAATATATTATAAGATCATTTGATCATAAAGTTTTTTTGTTATAATAAAAGTAACTCCATGAAATAATTTTAGAAGAGAGAAAATGAACCTTGATGGCTTGATGGACGGCTGAGATGGTGCTCTCTCGATCTTTTTGAGGACAATAAGTGCCCATTCCAAGCAATGGAATTGTCTTCCCACACCTGAGCCGTGCCACATCAGTCCTCATCTCTCTTTTCTTTTTCTTCTCGTCAGGCTCAATCTGTTTCTCTGTGTTTGAGTGTTGAGTCTAAGACATGTTTATATAGGCCACTGAAAGGTCAACGATCTTGATTTCTTTTATTCTTCCTTAAACAATTTCTCTTTATGACATCAATTATTATATATAGAATATGACATATATATGGAGTATATTATTATAGTTTAATGTATTACATCTTGAAATGTAGTAACATGGAATATTGGGACTATGGACGTATCGAAGCACGAGAGTTTTCCATGTCTTCTGGGATTTTCTTAGCCTACCCAAATCCATATCTCTCAAACCTCAAGATGATATCTTCTCTCCTCAATAAATTTCCTCATTAGTATTTTGAGTGTTTCCAAAATACGATTGTTCTTACATTTTATTTTGCAACTTGATTCTATTGGAAACTTTACAAGCTAATTACTTGCCAACTGTTTAAGCTCAACTGACTTTTATTTGGAGTAATGGTTTAGCATTATAGTTTCACATCTCATTTGTAGTGTCACAAGATTCTCCAAAAACTTTATACGCCAACTATGTTCACAAACGAATGATCCGATACTATAGATCATGCATGTCTCCTTCTTTTATCATGGCAGAAAATATCATTCTAGTATCTGAGACATGTGAAAATTCTAAATATTTCTTTTACAATTTAAAATGTTAATAATACTATGATTGCAATCGCATATACAGTGCCGATCTAACACGTTTAGATGCCCTAAACAAACTTTTAACATCATATTTTTACATATTTTCCTAACAATCATATATATAAATATATATATATATATATAGAATATAAAAGTTCACATTATTTTTCACTAATTCAACTACATTAATAATTATTAAACATAATTTTATAAAATTAATTGTATAGCAATATTTGTTAATATTATCACCAACATTTTGATCATAATCAATCATAATTTACTAAAATCAGTTGTTAATACAAAATCTCACATTTAAATAATAATACTTTACTTAAATTTTATATAATTTTTACTTATATTTTTATTAATTTTACTTATATTTTATATGATTTTATTAAAATTTATATGTGAACATAATTTAGATTTATTTGATAACAATAATTATATTCATAAAAATATTAGTGTTGTTTATATAATTTTTATTAATAAATATGTTATATGGACTGAGACTAAACAAATTAAAGAAATATAGTTGCACTCATATCAAAGAGTATTGAATTTTTTTCAGTGACTAATAATTCTCAATAAATAATATTTATCTAAAAACTTACATATTTATAAATATGATTTTTTTTTTAAAAAAATTACCTCGTTACTTTGGATGTCCTAATCGGTGGCTTGGGTGGTTTCCCCAGTGAACCTGCCCTGCGCATATAGAATTTAGAGTCTTACCTTTTGTACTTACATTACAAATCACAAACCAAGTTTAGTTATATGATGTTTATTTGTAATCCAGCCCTTGTTTTACCTTTTGTACTTACATTACAAATCACAAACCAAGTTTAATTAATGATGTTTATTTGTAATCCAACCCTTGTTTCAGAAAAAAGGTTATGTTTTAGTTCATATACAAGTTTTTCCCCAGTTGTTTTTTCTAATGTACGCTCAAAGATACGATATAATACATACAAATATGAAACATCAGCAAGAACAGACTGTGATTTTATATTATGAATAATATATTAATTGAATCTCATGCACATTCGAAGAGGCGTCTTTTGAAAATTTATTAGTTTCAAGGATAATACAATAATATATTTAGAAAGGGCGGTTTGACATACGATTACTTGTCAATGATATGATTTGCATAAAATAGTTCATAAGGGAGAGTGGAAGTCAAATCGAAGGCGACTGCATGCAATCGACGTTGGCTTACTAACCAAATTACATATGAATTAAGCGTTGACAATTAAACTAATTATCTAATATCTTCAATGGATAAAACTACTAATCTTCTTAAAATATGTCAAATTAAATGCAATGGTGGTTCATGTAGTATTTTACAACAGAAGACAGTCATGTTCTGCTTTTCTAGTGCACCGCCAAAAGATTTCACAAATCTTTTTTCCATGTGATATATTATTTTCTATAGTTATTAGGAATTTGCAGTCATGTTAATATAAATATTTGCTTTGTAAACTATAATTAAATGTCAACTACCGCTTACTACCGCTTTACTTTTTTATCAGTTTATTCATCAACGTTTTGACCTCTAAAGTCTATATTCATTTGATTCCCACAAATACAATGCGTCTCTTCTTTTTTAATTTCTTCTCCTACCAAATGTGATAATGTCACTCACTTCGTGACTCATGCTATGTATGTGTAGAAAATTATCTAAAAAATAAACTGAAACAGATTAGATCAAATGTGATAATGTCACTCTCTTCGTGACTCATGCTATGTATGTGTTCAATAATTATCTATAAAAATAAACTGAAACAGATTAGATCAAATGTACCTTTCTGTTGGTTGCTACAAGAGTTAATTTATGGTGGTTGGAACATAAATATTGGCATTAGGAAATGCATTGTATATAGTTTGAATTACATATTTTTTTTAATAGAGAAAAACACATGTAAGAAATTAAGTCAAAACATGTATTAAACTAATTTATGATTTTTCGTTAATAACATAGTAAGGATATTCTTTTTCAGTTCCTCGTTAAAAATAGTTTTAAAATTAGCCCAAAAAAATTATTTTCAACTAAAAAGTAACATTTGTTACAAAACGAACATAAACGAATCTCTTTACATTAAAAGAGAAAAACTCCAAGACGAAAAGCTTAAGCTTAAGGAAAGCTTTTCACCTAATTATGGACAAGTTATACACTAATGAAACATTTTGCTTTCATAATCTGCATAGAGAGGGATACTTATTTATCTAATGATTCGAGTGAGTTATAAGCAGAGATCGATCACTTGGTCTGTTTTGTTACTGTCCTCTGGACTGTCGAAACTCCATCGACGAATTTTGTCCGGAACAGAACACTGACATTCTTGAACATTCGTTCTTTCAACAAAACCACAATAAACAGTTCAATGCATATACATGGAAGAAAAGCTATAAACTGGTTTAATGGTATTAAATATCTTATTTTATTTTGTATATTTTTCTGGATGGCATGACAAATTTTTTTTTTTAATGGTATTAAAGATGAATTTGAACGTTAAATATTAATGGCTTGTGTAATGAAAACCCTAAATATCTATGGATTTATGAGGCCCAATCATTAAGAGTTTATTTTGGGCCTTAGGAAATTGCGATATAGCCCATTTAAATGGGCCTGAAGGAACTGTGTAACACGTGTCACCAAAATGCACAAGTAATTGGCCACCCAGCCACTAGGAGAAGTCATGTTAACTTGGTTATAATTTTTTTCTTATTTATTATATACACTATATAAAGAAAAATGATGGCACCATGTGTCATTAGGCTGTTTTGCTGTGTTTTGTGTCTGGGAATAACTAATTACCCTCTTATTGTTTGCTTAGTGTTTTGAATATTTCTATTTATAACTGTCAGTGGCTTGAAAAAGAGATTTGTGTCTGTTTATCAATCTCATGACTCATCCCAAGAATCCTCTTGTGTGTCTTGTGTTTAATCAGTTTTTTTGTGTAATATTGTAATCCCTTTATGTTTTCAAACTTGTAGACTCTGTTTTCTCATATAGCTTCTGTTTTAGTCTGCTTGTGTCATTGTTATACCTTGAAAATATGCCTCTTACAAGCTTATGAAAGTTCATTTGTTTGTGTTTGGTTAACATAAGTACATAATCATAATTATAGTCTTTGTTTATATATTTCACAAAACTAGAAAGTTACAGTAGTTGACACATAGTGTACATAATAAATAAACAATTTCGTATAAAATTATAATTAGTAATCAATAAGCATGAGCCTCAATTAATTATATATATAGGCGGCGGTCGGATTCACACACATTTGAGAATGGATCTTACGTGTGTGTGTTTTGAGACCAAGAGTAGAAGGAACATGGAGAAGAAGAGGAAGATGCATTCATAGAAGCCATTGTTGCTTGCTCTTCAGCGAGATGATGAAATGTTTCATTAGAAGAATTATCAGATGGGTTTTTGTTATCTTCTTCCTCTTCTTGGCTCATGATTAGCTGAGAAGCAACGAACTTGTCAAGAGTTTGCCAATCCATCACATGGTCATCATGATCATCATTGAGTAGTAATCCTGATTGATGATGATGATGATGATCAATATTTGTGTTCATCATAATCATATGATCATCATCATTAGTAATAACATGACCATGATCATCTTCATCATCTCCTTGCATTAATGTAGTTGGTGTTGCGTTGATCGTGCTTAGTACAACACCATATGGGTCATTATCATTATGATGTAATGATGATGATGAGCCTTGGAACATTCTTGGACTCTCTAAATCAGGAAGATGGTAGTAACTACCATTAGCTACATCCATTTGATGCGTGAACCAGTTTGATTCTTGTCCTGATGATGATCCCATCATTGTCCTTGGAGTGTTGTAACTCATAGTCGTTAGTTTCTTCTTGAATGCACGACAAACCACCCATCCTTCCTCATGAGGTGGTCCATTTTCATCGGTCTCAAGACGGTACTCGTGCATTATCCAATCAGACTTTTGACCGTTTGGGGCCCGACCTTTGTAAAACACAAGAGTCTTCCTCATCCCGACAAGCTCTTGCTTCGAGTATATGGCCTTGTCTCGACCCGTTGCTTTCCAAAATCCTGAGCCCGTTGCTCTATTGGTTCGTGTTCCTGTTGGATACTTCTTGTCCTTGTGGCTAAAGAAATACCATTCCCTCTCTTCTCCTGTCCCTCTTCCACATAACTCTATATATTCAGAAAAAAACATTATCGACGATGATGTGTAATTACTATCTAACAACTAGTATATATATGTATTTATTTATTGTGTGCATGCATACCTTGGATGTCCCATGGTTCGATTTTGTAGAGATCAACATCTTTGATCACATCAACTTGCATTCCTGGAAATGCAACTTTCTTCTTAAGATAATAGTCAACGAGTTCTTCATCAGTAGGATGGAATCGATAACCGGGAGGAATGTGTGAGAGACTCTCCATTTTGATCCTTTTATTGTTATATTTTCTGCAAAATAGGGCAATTTGTATCGATGGTAAAGATATGCATGTATGATGTAAGTTGTAAGTAATGTGAAATCAAATATCCAAGTAAGTCTACATAGAGATGTATTTTTAAATTTCCGCACTCGTAATTATCACTAAAGTAAATAATTGATCCATTTCATTATGATTCTTTGTTAGTTATGAATATTTCACGTTTTGAATACTCATAATACACAAAATATTTTTAAAAAAGAATCATGATATGCATGGTTTATAAACTAGCTAGTAATTAACTTTCCCTAATCTGCGTGAATGAACCTATTATTACTTCCCACCCTTTTAATTCCTTTTCCCATTTGTGCACTGTTTTGATTAAAATGTTATCGAAATGGAGAGAAAAAATAATGACCAACATTTTTAAAAAATCCATACGTGAAATAAGTATACACATACTTTCGGACAAAGAAAAAATAGAAACAATGTGTAGTCGTCTCGTCCTTTAAATAAATAGTTGTACTTATAACCTAAGATCTAGTGTACGAAACTGAAATATTTGTGATACTATAACATCACGAAATCTAGAAATCACAGTTGGTTAAACTTACTTGAATTTTCTTCTTATATATGCAAGATATTTAAGAGTATTAGATTTTTCTCCTTCTTCTTTTGGTTTCTCGTAGATTTTAGACAAGGAGACAAAAGCGTTTTGTCTTGTTTATGATGAGACCATGAAAGACTTATGAGTATTTCGATAATGGTGGATTCTCTAGGCTTATATGTACACATATTTATAGGCATATAAATGTAAACAGAGACAAAAACTCTAATGATGCAAAAGAAAATGTCCTTTTTATTTTATTTTATGTGTTTTTCACACTTTATTTAACAGAAGATTCTATATGGATTTTGGGGGTCTTTAATCATAACTAAGCTATCACTGTCCTCTCTCTACCTGAAGTGTTGCATAAGTTTTCACTTTCTATGTGTGTGTAATAGAGAAGTAATATGATCTTTTAGAACTATCTCTACCAACTATTGAATGCGACATTTTTCAAATAAACATCTTTCATTTAAAATTATGTAAAATAATTACTCATGGCTCAGGGTTTGGGGTGGTAAAGTCATTGCGACCGCAATAGTCACTTGTTGTGGTTCAGGTGATGATGAGATCACACTATTGTGTTAACTCCATCCGCTTCTTCTCCCCTGTGTGTGTTGCTCAAATATCACTACACATTTCCTAACTTTTTTTTTGTTGACATAGATCGTCAGATACATAACACAATATAATATTAATCATCCATGTATAGTAGAACCTCTATAAATTAATATACATTAAATATCTCTATAAAATAATATAATTTTATAGTTTCAAATTAAGTTTTTGGTTTGATTAGTATATCTATAAATTAATATCTCTTTAAATTAATAAAAAAAATTTTTTATTGTAGTCCCAACATTATTAATATATAGAGGTTTCACTGTAAATTGATATATATATATAGATTCGTTTGGTGAAATAGATTCGCATGTTCTTTTGAAACCTTCAAGACAATGTATTGTTTTAAGTATAAGTAAGTGTTTTAAGTATATTGTTCTCGTTGCTCAAAAAAAAAAAACTATATTGTTCTCTTAGTCTTGATGGATATCAATATTTTTAATGAATGTACCTCGTTATACACTTATAAGACTTGAGATGATTTACTAATTGATTTAGTTAGTATTTACGTATAAAACTCACAAATACTTAAGTTTTACTGCTGTTATATTTAGTTAATCAACTGCATAGAAAAGTCGATTAATAAACTTTCAGAAGTTAGTATGCTATTCTTTTTTCAGTCAATGTATATTTTCTGGTAAGCTTGAACTTAAATAATGTGATATTATGTAGTGTTTTATTATACATTCCTTAGATAAAATATCTTGTTTTCTTTTAATTTGTGAAATTATAAAGGAGGAAAGTGAACGAAAAAAAGAAGAAGATGTTGACACCAAAAGAAACAGTATAAATAAAGAAATTCAGTAATTAAATAACGTGGCGTGACGTGAGTGGTTACGTAATAACACAGGGAACATCATCGCGGCGAAAAAGCTCCTTATCGTGTTCAGTGTTGGCCCCACTTTACTCACATTAGTCCCCACAAAATTCTCGTTTTTTTCTCATTCCACCCCTTTAACTTACATTAAAATTCCCGATTTGGTTCACATTTTAAAGTAAGTTCAATACATACACATGCAGCATTCTCTTTTTAACATGCAAGATAGATTATGATGATTAATCTCAAACTCATGAAAACATACACATTCAGTATGCTTGACTAAACTAAACTCCGTTTTTGTATAATATGTGAAAGAGGCTATACGTCCAAAGATTAAGACCGTAACTGATACACTTTAAAAGGAATAGATGGAATTAAGAATAATGAAATAAGATGAATGAAATAAAAAAAGATCCATTCCATTTATTTCTTAAGAAAATTGTTTTGAAATATTTTTGTTTTCTATTTTTTTTTAATTTTTTATGGAATTGATGGAATGATCATTTTCCGTTCATGTTCAATGGTAGAAAAAATTATGGAATTATGGAATTGATCATTTCACACCATTCCATTCCAAAAATAAATAAATTACATCCTAAAAGATTATTCTCAAATAAAGCAAGGATTAGATATATTAGAGGATCACATGGATCATTAGATTCTATAGTGATATATATTATGACCTAATTCTAGACCTTTTCTTATCTTATGTCCTTTTTCTTCTTCTTTTTTTATGGCATTTTCTTTTTCTCATATGCCTGTGAAATGGCTATTGTTTAATATATGAAAACAAAAAGAGATTTGTTCTTAAGCAGTACGCTTCTATCTCCAACTCTCCACTTGCAGACACTATGATTATTCCTGCAAATTCCATATCATTTAGTATTGTCTATAAATATACATAAACACTTTATATTCGTGAGCAATACTTACGTATTATGGGTGGTATTTTACACTGTACAGCAGCATATGTCAATCTTTGAACGTGTAACCTCTTTAACAATCTTTTATAAGCCGTCATACAGTAAAATATTTTTCTATAGTGCAAACAAAATTAAGATAATATAGCTTAAACTATATTGTATGTGAGAGTCATGACTTTGTTTTCATTGGTTTATATAAGTAAGTAATCTTTTTGAAATGTCAATATTCAGATTTAAAGAGTGTATGTGAATTGTTAAATCGGATAATGTTATACGTTTGCGAGGAATGGTATTACGAGCATACCATTTCGCACTCGAGAGAAAATTCCATTCACACGATTAACGAGTACCGTTACATTTGGTTTGGATTTTATATTATGATTTATATCATTGGATGGTGGGACCATCACACCGACTGTAGTGAGTACTTTGGTAAGTTTTACATTCAGGAAACTGAGAAAGTGACAGTTTTACACACTAAACCATCATATCACACGTTTTCTTTTCCCAAAACCGAGCTTGACTATCCGTCGGTTAGACTGGTTTGATCCTAACCGGTAAAGTCACACTAGTATATCTTGTGCTTGAAGCCGCGGGGCTGGTCCCACTTGCAAGTATATGATTGGACTCGTGAGTCGGGCGTGGTCCTAGCCACTGTCAAGTCAGGCATCGCCAACGAACCACCGTTAGTCTAATGAGTGGGGCCTTAGTGGACCCGCTATCATTTTATGGGGTCCAGAGTAATGGACTACACGTGATACTCATGGGAGAGAGTGTGTACTAATTTTTCTGTATATACACTGATCCATATTTCATTGGACGATACCTCACATACATGAACACGACACATGTATGAATTTGCATTTGTTGCAAGATAATATAGTGGAACCATTTGTTTTGTTTTCTCTTTTGATTTCATCATGTGTTTCTCTAAAGTGTTAGAAAAACAAAGCGTGTTTTGATAAAGATCAAAGTGATATTATCTTGCCATCTTGCTTAATGGTTATGATCTCAAGGAGGATTTATTATATTGTTTGGTGAATTCGTTTGAACAATCTAACGAGTATAATAAGACCAGGACAGTGGAAAGTAGATTGATTTCCACTTAGTATGGACTTTGGAGGAAACTTGTTAAATCACGTGGAAAAATGCTTGGGAGTCTAATTAATTAGTAGTAAACCATTATAAATACTAGGTAAAAAATCCGTACGATGTCACACGAGATTCATTTTATAAAACTAAATATATCATACTTTATAATTGATATTTTTATAAAAATACAGTTTATTTTTTCTTCAACGAAATCCTTGTAACATGTGTACAATGTAGATTACATGTGTCTATATTCATTTATAGTTGCTACTAAATTTTTATATTGGTTTTACAATTTCAGATTATAATTCAGTTTAACATGCCAATACTAATTTTAATATATATATATATATATATCTTATTATTATTTTCTAAGTTATTTGTAATTATAAATAAACTTTCATATATTTAAAACTAATTAAAAGAAACAAACAAATTTAAACCTTATCATTTACTAAACTAATAAAGGTAAATTAAAATGATGAGTATGACATTCATAATGTATTTGAAGCCATGTAGAAATATATGTATAGTCAAATATGATTACATAGCAAAGAGATCTTCTCCACTAATATTTTTTTTTTGTAAATTACACATGTGATTTTGTTTCTTTATTATTTGTATCTTTTATAAAATTATATTTTTCCTTTATCAATGATGGATGCAACTATGAAATCTCTATTTTCTAAAGAAATTTGGACAACTAAAGGATCAAAACTCTTTGATATTCATCATATATCAGTGTTGGATGCAGCTATACATAAATACAAAAATTCCATATTTTTCTAATTTATTTTGAAATATGTAGATTAATCCATATGGAAATATCAAATTTTCCGATAAATGCTATTTGTACTTAAGTTTAGTCTTTTTACTGTTGTTTAAAATATCTAACCACATTAAAATTTTATGCTAATGTATCCTAAATTAATTTTCATGGTACGTGGGCATTAGTTATAGTTTTTCAATGAGTAATTTAATAAAATTTCTTATACTACGTATATCAAAAAACTTAACCCTATGAAATCTCTATATTATAGAGAAATTGGGACAACAAAGATGTCAGACATTATTGATCTTCATCCTATATTTGTATTGGATGCATCTATACATTAAAAGAAAAGTACCGTATTTTATAACTTATCTTGAAATCTAATCAATACAAAAAAATCAAGTTTTCCGATAACTGATATTTACTGAATTTTAAGCTCTTTCATATTGACTAAAACTACCAAATAACATTATAATTTTATATTAAGGTATATTAAACTTATTTTCAAGGTACATGGGCACCGTTTCTAATATTTTAATCAGCATTTTATTAAATTTCACCTAATTCAGTAGACTAACCCATATAAATTCGATAATTTCTGGAGAAACGGGGACAAATAAGGTCTCAGACCTCTTTATTTTCATCACATGTCACTGCAAGATAAAATTATGCATTAAAACAAAATACCATAATTTCTAATTTATCTTACGAAAAAATTGAGTTTTTTTCCAATAAAAGTTATACATACTAAAGTTTAACCTCATTAATATTATTATAAAAATAACTAACCAAAATCTAATGCATATTAATGCATGCTAAAAATATTTTCATGGTACATAGGCATCATTTCTAATTTTCTAACGAGTTAATTTTTAAACTTCATATACGATCTAGTTAGTGTAGTAACTCATATAAATTCTTGAT